GGGCTCGATCCCAGCTCTGCCAGTCATAGCTGGGTCACCCTTACCTGGCTGAGCCTCCGTTTCACATCTGTTAAATGGAGACAGCAGTGACAGCTACCTCGCCGGGCTGTGGCAGGAATGCAGTTAAGTCACATAGGAGACAGGTTTGGGGATTTACAATAGATAAGCCCCCTTCTTCTCCTCTGAAATTCAGAACAGGTTGGAGAGGTGGAGACAGAGAGAGGCACAGGAACTAGATGGGATTGAAAATGTTAGCTATATTTTAAGTGGAGCTGAGCTGGATAAGACAACATGGCTTCATAAGCGGCAGTTAGTTCAGCACCTCCAGCCTTAAGGTGCTGAGTCAGCCACAGGCAGAAGGAGCAACCCCAGACCCCTCTACAGGGCAAGTCCCTCTCTGATTGGAGGCAGCAGACAGGTGTCCAGCTTCCCGCAGGAGGCAGGTACAGAAAGAGCCCAGGGGATGTAAGAGGGCAGCCTCTAGCTGCGTCACTCCCTGTCCCTTGGGCCGAGAGGGAGGCTTGTTCTCCAGTGGATGCCCCCGAAACGGGACCAGGAAATAGAAGGGAAAGGAGGTCCCTGCCCAACAGTAGGTAAGGCATTAACACAGTTCCTGGAACACAGAATTTAATAAATGGGCAAGATCTTCTCTGTCTTCTGCACCTCAAAATAGATCGTACACATCACCATTTGTTTGTGTAAACAAACACCACCTCTGTGTTTACAACTCTCTCTGTCTCTGTTTCTCTCTCACACACGCAGGAAATGCATAAATGAATAGTATATATGAATTATATCTTTACCCAGTATATATTAGTTTTCTGTTGCTTCTGTAGCAAATTACTACAGTAGCCTAGCTATTATATTGTTGAAGGAGCGCCACCCACAGGGTGGCTTAAAACACCACCGATTTATTAGCTTACGGTTCTGGAGGCCAGAAATCCTAAAATCAAGGTGTTGGCAGGGCCACGTTTCTTTTGGAGACTCCAGAGGGATTGCCCACTTCCTTGACATTCCAACATCTAGACGCCACCTGCATCTCTCGGCTTGTGGCCCCTTTCTGCATCGGCAAAGTCAGCAGCATGGCATTTGCAAATATGTCTTCCTCTCTCTGACCTCTGCTTCCATCCTTACGCCGTCTTTCTCTGATTCTGATCTTCCTGACTCTCTCTTTAAGGACCCTGGTGATTACATCTACAGCTCACCTAGATAATCCAGGATAACCTTCCCATATCAAGATTCTGAACCGAACCACATCTGCAAAGTCCCTTTGGACATGTACAGTAAGATATTCTGGGGTTCCCAGGATTAGCATGGGAACGTTTTGAGGGCGGGGGCTGTTGTTCTGTCCACCGCATCCAGAAACCATAGATTAAAGCCATACTCCTTATGAGCATCACCTTGTTCTAGGCAGAAGTAAATGGGGCGTTTACTCTTACGGAACCTTGACCGATCCTTAGACATGCTGCTTTCTCCAACTGTGGAGGGGGCCAAAAAGATTATGTATGTTACACTTTGTCTCTAAAACACTGTGACATGAGTTAAGAATGAGAACTTCAGGGCATTAGAGGCAGGGACTGGAGAAGACCCAAATCTTCTCCTGCTGCCCTTACCCACTAACCCGCCACCTGCACAGTTCTTCAAAGCCCCATCCCACACGGAGGAGGCTGAAGAGAGTCGCAGAGGTGCGTTCCTACCACGGCATATGTACGTCTGTCAGATGCTCTTCTTTTTTTTTGAGACGGAGTTTCACTCTTGTTACCCAGGCTGGAGTGCAATGGCGCAATCTCGGCTCACCGCAACCTCCTCCTCCTGGGTTCAGGCAATTCTCCTGCCTCAGCCTCCTGAGTAGCTGGGATTACAGGCACGCGCCACCGTGCCCAGCTAATTTTTTGCATTTTTAGTAGAGACGGGGTTTCACCATGTTGACCAGGATGGCTCGATCTCTCGACCTTGTGATCCACCCGTCTTGGCCTCCCAAAGTGCTGGGATTACAGGCTTGAGCCACCGCGCCCGGCCTAGATGCTCTTCTTAAGCAAGAAAGAATCCCATCTCCATAGACAGACAGAACCTTCTAGAATGATACCTACCACTTGTTATACACCAGTTATAACAGGTGCTGTCCTGGATGATTTCTCTTATCATTAAAATTTTTACAAGAACCCTGAAAGACAAAGTAGTATTGCCCTTCATTGGAGAACAGAGATTCTGAGACGTGAAATTGCTTGCCTATGGTCACTCAGGTCACGAGAGGCAGTGCTGGGGTCAGAATCCCTACTCCAGACCTTCAGAATTCTGCTCCTGCCACGTGGCACAGGCAGGCTGGGGGTAACCTGAGAGAACGGAGCTGTGTGGTGAACAAGGTCAACACAAACCCACTCCCTGGGAGCTGGGGTGCTCTCCGGCAGAGTGCACTCTTACGCGTCCTGCGTGCTTTCTTCTTTTACAGCGACCTCAAACTGTCCAATCAAATAAGCGTGTGAGCAGAGGTAGAGCTGAAGGCAGTCACCTTCCCACTCTGTCAACTGGCACAGGGGAAGAGCAGTGGCTTCGTGGCACAAACAGACTAAGACTGGCAGTGTGTGTGACATCCAGGCCTGCCCCGGGGCGGGGGGAGAAGGGCCAGCCTGGCAGGACCCCTGCAGGGCTTGGACTGGGGGAGAGGATCTGTGGGCTGATTTCTTGCCTTTTGATGCATGAATGAGTATAAGAACAAATATGGCTTTGATTGCTGTTTTTATACCTGTCCCTCACTCAACTTAGAATTTTATGCACCATGGCTCTCTTCACTAACCTGCTAAGGGACATCTATAGCAGTGTCTCTATGGGGAGAAGCGAAACCAGGGAAGATAGGGTTGTGGGGAGTGAGAGAAGCCCAGAAGGAGAAGGAGGTGTTGGCCACAACATAAGAGGACTCACATTAAGTGGGATCTAGGGCTGAGAGCCTCAGGAACACAAGCTGGGCAGGGCACGGGGTTCAGAGCCACAGCTGTGAATAACACAAATGTCAGACACCTTCACATGGGTGACAGCCTGGCAGCCTGAGGGCATGAAGAAGGTCCCTAAAGAACTTTGGCCATTGAAAATCAATGAATTTGGCTGATGACTAAAAACGGCTCTTACACTTCTAGAATCCAACCCCGAAGGTGCATTGGGAATCACAGTTACCTTCTAAAGGGGAGGCGATCGTATAAACATACTCACTGGACACAGGGTTTTCAGGATAAAGTTAGCTTCAGTCACAGCCCTGAGAACTATAAGAATTAGTGGATTTGTTAGGCGCTACCTCTGTACACCGTGAGCATGACAGCAAAGGTTCAGGCTAACGATGGAGTCTAACGTTCACTCAAGTGGGGGACAGGTGCAGAGCCCAGAGGTTCTTGTTTTACAAGTACATTAAAACCAATAGATGTGTCCATGCCTGAAACCTTGACGAAATGGGTGTAGTAGTTTTCAGTAGCATCTCTCGGGATGCCCATAACTTTATGGAGATTTACTTTCTTCACAAAAATTTAACCATCTGTAGATATAAGTAGGTCCTAAATCTTCCCTGCAACGTGTGAATAATTTTTGCTAAAAACTTCTAGTAATAAGAGAAATCTATAGAAACAAGAGCTTCATCCAGAAACAAAAAGCAAAATGCAAGAGTGTGGCCAGCCAACGTTGGACCTGACCGATTATGAGCAATGTGCTCCAACATTTCTGCTGAATAGGGATCAAACTGTTCACAAATGTTCCTAAGACCCTTTAAGGCAGAATTCATCAATTAGGACAATGTGGTTTTCTATCCTTCAGCAAACTCTTGGTTTTAAAGAAATAGCTGTGATGGGAAGAAACCAGACATCATTTGTGTCCGGGCTAAAACCCTCAAAGTGAATACTGAAGAATGACAATTCTCACCCAGTTCCTAACACCTCACGGGACAGACATAAGCAATGTTTGTTTGACTGGGGAGGAGTAGGAATCTCCGCAGGGCAGAGTGAATTGCCTGAGGTCTTGCAGCCAGCTCAAGATGGAGCCAGGTCGACAAACTCCTAATCAGTGATTGTCTGATACCCATGAGCGTCAGTTAGGATTTAGGTCTAACCTCATGTGGCAGAAACCCCAACAGAGACCTCAACCAGGTGGAAGGTTTTCTGTCTCACATGAAGTAAGTTGCGAGGGCTGGTGTAGCAACTCCAAGACCACACATCCTGGTTTTTTTCCCAGGACACACTCAAGATACGTGTGTTGTCCCAGCATAGTTATCAACACTCTCAAAAGTGCTCATGTTTGGATAATAAATTACAGAACCGCTGCAGTCAGTGAGGGCACAGGTTAACTCTTTCTGACTTCCGGGACCAGCATCTGAACAAGCGGCCTTCATCCCAAGCCAGGGACTTTATGTAAAGTTAAACAGGTTGTGCATTACACAACTCTGGGGAACATCTTTCTCCTTGTATGCATTGTGGATTTACTATGGCAATTTTTCAGTGGATGACAGTAAAGGATTTTGTGTACTGGGGGCCTTTTCTGGTTCTCACAAAGTTATTGAGGTTCATGGCAGTGCTGTTCTGAAGTCACTTAGTATCCATAAAAGGCTGCTGAGGCTCCAGCCATCATCTCCATCATCTGACACAGAAAGGAGAAAGGACAAACAAAAATAAAAAATAAAAATGGAAGCACACCTCCTTGATGAAAAGTTTATTTTTAAAAATGGAGACTTCCTGGAAGCCCCGCCACCATTACTGTTTCTATCTCTCTGTCACACTTAGCTGCAAGGAAAACGAGGAAATAGAGCCTTTTAGCTGGGCACTCCCACTAGTGCAAGAGTTCTTTTAGTAATGAAGAAAGGGAAGAGGTGAGATGAAGGTGAAACATGAGCATCCATGCCACTTCACCTTGGGACTCTGAGTTTGGCAGTGAAATCCAGAGACTACCTTCTACCCAAATTTGATTTAGAAAATAGATTAAGGCCTTCCACTGACCATTTTCTCTTCTCATTCTTTCCTGCATTACAGATTTGGTTCTATACCAACAGCATCTTTGGAAACGCTGGGATCCCTCCGGCAAATATCCCATACGTCACCTTGAGCACCGGTGGCGTCGAGACTTTGGCTGCCATCTTCTCTGTAAGTCGACTGAGGGTTACTTTTGAGAATGCAGCAGGGGGTTACATAGCACAGTGGGAGTGTTCATATGGTCCTGTAAGGCAGGGGGATTCCCCATCAGAATTCATCCATTAGGACAATGTGGTTTTCTATCATTCAGCAAACTCTTGGTTTTAAAGAAAGAGCTGGGATGGGGAGAAACCAGACATCATTTGTGTCCAGGCTATTGATCCAAAACCTCCAGTGAATACTGAAGAGTGACTATTCTCACCTGGTTCCTGACACCTCATGGGACAGGCAGCACAGTACTGTGGGAACCCCAGGCAACAAACCGGCATCCCTTTAAAGGATCGTGTCCTTTGTCATGCCAGAGGCATCTAGATTTTAGGAGTTCATCACGCAGTTCTTCGCTGACATTTTACCCATCTAGAGAATATTCCTTTCTACATTTTGCTTCCCTGTCCTTTTAATAAATAACTCCATCCTTTGAATTCTCACCTAGTCACAAATGATGGCATATGAATGCCCTGGGAAAGAGGGCCGTATTGTCCCCAGCAGTTCAGATTAGAGAATTGGTGTGAGTCTCCAATCTCTTGCCCTGACTTTAAAAATGTTTCAAAACCGTTATCTGTCATCTCATTACCCCAAACGTGGGAATTTGCAAGGCAAAAAAGAAAGGACATTTCAATTCAACCAGTGTAATAGAGAGGAAAACTTTAATAACAAGCCAACGTGTTCAAAAGAAGGCATAGAGCTTGTCACTTTTTCAACCTCCAATGTGCAAAACAAACGTTTGGTGAAGAGGAAAGTTGGGTGGCTTCAGAACCTAGCAGAAATTTCCAGATCTTGGAATCAGACCAAACTGGATTGGAATCCTGGCTCAAGCACTTCTCGGCTATGCAGCATTGAGCAGTGCACTCAACCTCTCTGAGCTTCAGTTGCTCTTTATGAGATGTTTGCGTCTCTTCTTCCTTGGAGGCATGTGGTCTGTGCCTCATATTTTAGGCATGCAGCACACAGTCAGGTTCCCTTCCAAATGGAAAAAGAAAGGGCTAAAATTAGAGAGTTATATTCTCTGACCTTGATGGAGTGGTTCATTTATTTTCCCTCTTGCTCACTGATTAGCACTGACAGATTGATGCCCTCGCAAACAGGCAGAGGCTTGCAATTGTATTTCTGACTTCTCATTGACAGAACGCTTGGCTTTGCGCCTTGCACTTAGTGGGTCATTCTAGCAAGATACTTTAAAAAAAAAAACAAGTATCATTAAAAATGTAGAGGAATGATGTTTTGTCTCTTTCCCTTTCCGCTTCAAAGTCTTTTTGTTAGAGGAAAACATTTCAACGTTTCATGTTCTGGAAGTTTCACAAGAATCATTCTTGTTATTCTCAAGTTATAGACTGCACCGAGTTTTGTTTGTTTATTTTTACTTCGAGCAAGGGAAAAACACAGTCAGTCTGAGATGAAAACTATGGGGAAAGTACAGGAGATTTTTGTTTTTGTTTTTTGTAAAGCATTTTATTTGTATTGTTAAGAAATCAATAGCAGCTCATTAGGGCAAATTTGTAAAATTCAGAAAAAGAGGAACTAAGAAGAAATTACCTGCGATCATAGTAACCAAGGAAGTTTGGCAAGTTCCTCCCTGTCTTTCTGTGCATAGATGTGTATTTCTCACATGGTAGCACAGGAACCCTACTCTGAATACTCACTCTAATCTGCTTTTGTTCGCATAATCTTATGTCAGAATGATTCCCTATTTTATTATTAAGTAATCTTTGTGGAGGTATATTACATATGCAGAAAATCATGGAGATTATCAGCTTCCCTGAATTAACACTGGTGCTGAAAGATTTACCCCACTCCAATCATTTTCTGTGTGGTAATTCCCTTAACCATTGTCTTGAGAGTGGGGTGTTGAACATCTCTGCTCGGAACCTGATGGCAGTGCCATGCTTCTTGGGTTCCAATACCAACTCTGTGTCTTTTTTTTTTTCAGCTGTGTGACCCCAAGTAAGTTATTCAGCATCTGTATGGCTCAGTTTCCCCACTTCTAAAGGACATCATCCCTGCCTCCTAGGGATGGGTTGAGGATTGTACAAATGAATATACATTAAGTGTTCCAGCAGTGACTGTCAAATCGTGTGCACTCGGTAATTGGCAGCTATTCTTGTCCTAGTTAGGTAGATTTCCATAATTTTTGATTTTAAATAAGGCTGTGATGGACATCCTTGCAGAGGGCAGAATTTTACAGGGACTCTTGCCATCTTTTGACAGTCGAGGAAGCCAAAACCCAGAGGAGTGACTTACTCTGGGTCACACAGTCAGCTGGCTCAGAACCCAAGGGGGTGGGGAGAGAGAACATCATGAGGCCCCTATTGCCTCCCGGCCGAGACCCCAAAGTGTTCTGCATGGGACCTCATGAATGCTCACGTTATGCCTCAGAGTCCAGTGATTGCCTTTGTTTGAAAGAGGAACACACTGAGGAAGTGGCTACACTTCTTCCCTTGATCCAAGAGGGACTTCACAGGAAGCCATTCTTATTCATTCCAGACTCCAGAAGCCACTCCTTCTTATGCCCATGCTCTGGCTAGCAGATCATTTTCCTTAAAAGCTGACAATATTGGGCAACATATTCCTTGGAAATACCAACCCCAGCAAGGAGTGTAAATGACTGCACCATCCTGAAAGAGAAGGAGGGGTCCTTCCTAAAGTCAGGACTCAGAGTCACAGCCTCTGGAGAGCACTCCCACCTGGAAGTGTGGACCTGGTGGATCTCAGTCATCTGGACGATGGCCAGTTGATTCCCTGCCATTTATCGAGCTTTCACCAGCTCCTCCCATGGTCAGGCTGTTGACCCTGTGCTGGGGCTTATAGAGAGCCGTTGCCATGGTGCCTGCCTGCAGGAGTTCACAGTCCAGTGGAGGAGGTTGATTATGACCCAAGGATAAATGATGTCTTGCTGTTCTAGAGGTGCAGGAACCTCAGTGTGGGAGGTTCCTCTAAGTGGGAAGTGATGCTTTGGAGCTTTGGTGATGGATTCATTCATGCAGGCATCCGTTCATCCATTCCACAGACACCTAAGGTGCACTCATATGGTGCCAGCTGTCACACGTGAAGTTGCCAAGATCTAGAGAGAAAAACCCAGAAACAATTACCACCTGCAACACGAAAACAAGCTTCCCTCTCAAATAAGGGGTCTGGAAGAGCTTCCTGGAGAAGGGAACCAGGAACCTGAGAGCTGAAGGACCAGGAGAAGTTAGGTGACGGGAAGAGAAGTGCATTGGGTAGTCTGTCCCCCTTTCATCTTTCCAAAGAGCTGGAGATGCAAGGACAGATGCAGAACAGTCCACTGGAAACAGTCCTTAAAAATCGTAGCATTTACCCCAATTCCTGGAAAGCCATGAGGTTAAATTCAGCATGAAGCTGGGAGTGTGGAATGGAAAAATGTTCTGGGGAGAAAGAGCTTTGGCTTTAGGATGAGGCTACTGTTAATTCAAATCCTGATCACCCATTTACCAGCTGAATGGTCTTGGGAACACTGCCCGGCAGCTCTGAATCTATTCGCTTATCTGTAAAATGGTCATAACCATGCCCACCTGTGGGAGGCAAAATAATGGCTCCCCAGGATGTCCACACCATGTTTACCTTACAGGGCACAAAGGAATGTTGCAGGTGGGACTAATCTTGAGATAGGGAGAGGACCCTGGATTACCCAGGTGAGCCCAGTATCATCACGGGGCCCTTGTGAGTGAAAGAGGGAGGCAGGAGGGTCAGAGTCAGAGAAGGAGATGTAGTGGTGGAAGCAGAGGCAGGAGTGACGCCATTGCTAGCTTTGAGGTGACAAAGGGGTCACAGGCCCAGGAATGCAGATGGTCTCTAGAAGCTGGAGCAGGCAGGATTGTCCCCTGGAGCCTCCAGAAGGAACCAGCCCTGCCAACACCATCGTGCTTCACTGCAAGATCTGCTCTAGACTTCTGAGTTCCAAAACTGTAAGATAATCCACCTGTGTTGTTTTAAGCCACTGCGTCTATGGTACTCACTGCAGCAGCAATGGGAAACTAATATAGCATCTGACAGAATTATGGAAACAAAATCCAAACTGTGTGAAAGCCATTCTTCCATTTCTGACAGAGTGTCAATATAAGGTAAATTCCTTGCCCTTTCTGAAGTTTATATATATATATATATATGTAGCATATTTATATATATAATGTATTCTAATATCATGTTATAATTTATGTAATACATTATAATTCCATATTGTTTGTATATAAAGATACATATTTGAAAATAAGAAAATAAAAATATACAAATATATTTATATATGATATATAAATATATATCTATCAATAACATTAATATATGATACATAAGTATATGTGTTTATTACATATATAATTGTATATATAAATATATGTATTATCTTGTTTTCAAATATACATAAATTATTATACATATAATTGTATATATAAATATATATGTATTACCTTGTTTTCAAATATGCATATTTAAATATATTGAAAATGTATTACCTTATTTTCAAATATACATATTTGAAATGTATTTGAAAACAAGGTGATTCATATATATTTATATATACAATTATATATGTAATAAACACACACATATATATACACATATTTCATCCAGCCCTTTGAAGTGATTGCCTATCCAAAAAGATTTTCCAATTTTTTTCATTCCTCTTATGAGATTTTTACAGTCTATTAAAATGGCTCAGGAGGCTGATAAAACTGAGAAGGGAAAGATATCTTTGCTCATTTGATCTGCAATTAATTTTGGCTCAGGGCATCAGTCATCAGCTCGAGCAACCGTAAATCATTGCCATCTTCAGAAACAGCTGGTTTTCCAAATTGATTTGCTTGGCACCAAGTTAACTCTCTGATGAGTGAACTTCTAGTGAGCATCATTCAGGCCACATAGGGCAGGGGCTTTGTGGGGTGAGGGTTTACTCTTGAGAAGCACAGACTCTGTGCTTTTACAAATCAGGAGTCAGAATTCAC